GCCGTGCGGCAGTGCCGATCGATCTGGGCTTGTTGTGCATCTCTCGGTGCTTCACCGACGCCTTCTGACCCACCTGGTGCTCTTGCCACCGCCACAAGCCAACCGTCTCTCTGGTGCGCCGCCTCGACCAAGCGCCAGAGCCCTCGATCCTCATCATTCATCCTCCATCCAACCCGCTCAACATCCCCACCCGCCGTCGCAGGACTCAGAGCGCCAACCTGCAAGACGCGCTCAACTGCCGCATCAACCTCTCCTCCTTCACTCCCTCCAACACCAATCCCGCACATCCCTCGGCCACCCACTCCGCCGCGGGCTCGGCATCGCGTGGCGCCGACGCAGCCACCAGCTCCAGCTTCCCTCCGCCACCCTCCTCCTCCACCTCCGCCAACGCTCCCCTCGCTGCGTCCAGTTCCTTGATCGAAGACCTCGTCAACACCGGTCAGAATCCGGCACTCCGCAAGGTCCTCTTCCAGCTCGGATCGGCGCAGAACTCGGACCTTTCGGCGGTCACCAACTCCCTCTCGTCGTCTGCACCGGCGTCGTCCACGCCTCTATCGGAGCTAGCTGCAGCAAGTGCTGACCCTTCGCGATCCGACCCGTCGTTGCACGCTTCCGAGGGCAGCGCATCTACTGCTACTCAAGGCTCGTCCTTGCCGCCCATCAGCAGTAACAGCGCCGCCAACGACTCTCTGTCGCAACCAACGCCGCAGCGTCAACCCTGGCAACGTCCCCCGTCCTTTGAGGGAGGCACCTCTTTCCGCCAACATCTCGAGCGTAGCCAGGTCCAGCTCCAACAGCCGCCCACCATGTCTGCTCCCACCTCGCAGCCCCAGCCTCAGGCTGGCATGGCCCCGCAATCCCAAAACCAAGGCGGACCTCTCGACTCGGTCACGCTCGGTCAGCTCCGCAACCTCATCGTCACAGACAAGCCAAAGTCGAGGCAGTACGACTTCCCCATCGATGCCGATGCCGACAACATGCAGAATGAGATCGACGAATTCTACTCGTACGTCGAGGTGCCGCAAACCGCAGAGAACAGGACCGCATGGGAGGAGTGGTGCACCATGCCCACCCACCTGCGCCACGCCGGCTACTCTTCCACCGGCTCCGAGCTCGGTTCCGCAGAACCGTCCTCTTCGCTTGGCCTTGGTCTCGACCTCAACCACGCCGGTGTGGCCCCCCACAGCACTGAAGGTCAGTCCGCAGGCATGCCCAGGAGAGCAAGCCTGATCGAACCGGCCCTTGGAGAGTGGACTACGCTGGGCAGCTCCACGCGCAGACGCATCCTCCAATCGCTCCTTTCCACTCTCGAAGTGCGCGACCCTGAAGCCCGTTTCCGCGCCTCTCGTGCGCTGCTCTACCTGCTCCAAGGCGCCTTCGCAGACACAGCTGGCCCAGAACACCAATTGCATTGGCTGTTGGAAAACGCTCGCATGGTCCGATCGCTCGGTGGTCTGGGCGAAATTTACTCGGCCATCAAACTCGCCAGCTGGAAGCACGACTACCTCAGCTCCCTCCCGGACCACATCCCCTCTCATGAGCCTGCCCATACCGGTCAGCAAGGCCCCGCCAACGCGCCACTGCTCACCCCAGAGGCAAAGCTCGAGTATCTCGACGAGATTAACCTCGAACTCGCGCTCCACTTTGCTCAGCTCTACTCGCTCCTCGAGAGCTCCCGGGGCGAGGAGGAATGGGGCGACGAGCTCATGAGTCTAGACCCTCCGCTTCCCATCTTCCTCTTTGGCCTCGTGGCATCGCTGCGCGAGAAGAGCGCCAAGGGCTACCCGGTCAAGAAGCTCTTACTGCTGCTGTGGAAGTCGCTCCTCTCATGCTTCGGAGGCGTCAAGGACGTCGAGCGCTGCAAGCTCCTCGCCCGCGAGATCGAGGGTCTCGGTCCCATCGACAAGTCCACCAAGCGCAACGTCCTCAAGTCGGACCCGCTCGACTTTCAGGACTTCCAGCACGAGATCTCGGTCAAGTACCCGACATTTGAGCCGCCAAAACGCCAGGATCACGATCTGCCTCTCGACAAGCTCGCCAGCGCCATCCACCCCATCCCGCCCCGCAAGCCGTTTAGCAACCATCTCGACGGCTCGGATCGCTACCCTGGCGGACCTCAACAAGGACCGAATGGCATGCTCCCTGGCACGCCCGCGCCATCTCCTCCGCCGTCCCCCAAGCCCAACAAGGCCAAGTACCAGACGGACCAGACACGGCCTTTCATCTTCCCCTACAGCCGTCAGGTGCATGGCCAGGGTCGTCTCGTCCCGCGCAGCATTGACGAAGCTTCCAAGCTCTACACGGAGCACATGCACGTCAGCCTGGAACTGTGGCAGACTTGGAGAGTGCGCGAACAGTGCATCCAAGAAGAGAGCGGCGTCGGCAGCGCCGCCGACGGCACTCGCATCGGGCTTGGCGTCAAGTCAGCCGCATCGAAAGCCTACGTCCGCACCGACGCAGCCTCGTCCTCGCCAGGCAGTCGCAGCCCAGTCAGCTCCGAAGCCTTCCCGCCCCGCGGTGTCTCGGAGCGCACGTTCAAGGTCAAGGGCGAAGCCACATACGAGCATCTCGTCGAGATCGAAGAAGACATCGAGGCGGAGCTGCGCGACGTCGAGGGCGACCACATGCTCGCGGCGCTCGACAATCCGCGTCATACTGAGCTGATCGATCACCTGGCACAGAAGAGGGCCGATGTGCGTCGACTTCAGCGCGTCGACCAGCTCTATCGCGCCGTCCTGCCGCAGCTTCAGTCGTCGGTCATCGTGCTGCTCAAGCTACTGCTTGCCACGGTCACCTCGATCAACACCAACTCGGCGCATGCTGCAGCGATCGCCGAGGGCGCCCCGATCGACGAGGCACCGCCGCCGACCCTCGAGGACGTCGATGTGGCGCGCCATCGCGAGATCCTGACCAAAGCCGTCTCGGCCATCCTTCTGCTCTGCCTCAAGTGGTTCAAGGCGAGCCACGTGATGAAGTTCAACTACCTCTCGCAAGTGCTCGTCGACAGCAACGTGCTGCTGCTCATCCTCAAAATCTTTGGCCTTCAGGAGATCGCGCACGGCGTTAAGACAAAGAACGAAGCGGACAACTTCCGCTTCTTCAACTACTGCTATCTCAACGGTGGTCGCGAGGCCCGCGGCCCTCGGGCTGAGGACTCGCTCATGTCGCGACACAACATCATCGGGCCCGTCGCCATCAATCCGGGCACCACGTCGCCGCCACCGGGCAAGGCGACGCTCATGCCCGACGGCACCGAGGTCGAGATGGTGAGCGACTACTCGTGGCGCAACTTTTTCTCGTCGATCAACTTTACCCGCATCCTGCAGAAGCTCACCAAGCGCAAGGTGCACCGCATCCTGCTGCTCGTGCAGTACAAGAGCTCGGCGATCCTCAAGCGCTCGCTCAAGGTGCCGCATCCGGGACTGGAACTCTACGTGCTCAAGGTGATCAAGAGCCAGATCCCGTTCTGCGGGCGCAAGTGGCGCCAGAGCAACATGCGCGTCATCACGAGCATCTATCTCAACTGCCGCCCGGATTTGCGCGACGAGTGGCTGAGCGGCTCGGATGTCGAGGCGGACGTCGAGGACTCGCTGCCGCAGGAACAGGCGCTGCGCTCGCTCGTCAAGTTCTACAACCATACGCGCTTCGGTCCGCCGCCCGGCGCCGCGCTCGGCCACGGCGAAGGCCACGGCCATCGACGCTCGATCAGCACGAGCGCCGAGCGACACCAGCAGGAGATGCAGAATGGTCAGCAGCAGGGCCATGCGCAGCCGCACATGCAGTCGCAGTTCCACGCGCAGCAGCCGCAGCACCAGCAGGGCGGTCAGCAGCACGGCGCGCAAGCGGACGGCGGACCGCACTCGCAGGAGGCTCAGCAGGCGCAGCGTGGTGGCATGTCGAACGGCGACGGCGCCAACGAGCACGGCGCGCCGCCTGCCACGCTGTCGCCCACTCGCACGGCCAACGGCCCGTCGTTCTTTGAGAGCGACGTGCTGCCGCCGCTGCGGCGCTCGCACCAGGCGTCGGCGCCCGGCGGCTACATCCCGGACGACGTCGTCGAGGGCTATCTGGACACGTACGAGGATGTGCTGGGCGAGGTGTTTGGCGAGAACGTATTCTACCCCTCGGACGGCGGTGGCGAAGGCGGAGCGGCGGAAGAGGACGGGGCGGGCGGCGAGGCGGGCGCGAGCGGCTCGGGCTGGAGCTCGGGCAAGTGGGGACTCACGCAGCAGGGCTCGTCGACGGCCTGGGCGCGGCTGGGCGAGATCCTGGGCGAGACGGGCATCACGGATGCGGACACGGCGAGCCTCGACTCTGCGCACTCCGGCGCAGGCAGCGTGGCCGGGTCGATGACCGACGACGAGGGCGAGCGCGACGAGAACCGCAACGACTGGGAGCACATGTCGCCCAAAGAGATGCGCTTCCTCAGCTCGGGCGTGCTCTCGCCGCCGTCGCCGTCGCCGATCCCGCTGCACGGTGGCAAGCAGCCGTCGCCGCTGCAGTCGCCGCGCATGAGTGCGGCGGCGCTGGGAACGTCGGCGCTCGACACGTCGCCCGGCTCGCCCGTGCGGCCGTTTACGATCTCGGGCGTGAGCTCCGGCGGCGGGTCGGGGTCGCGGCCGGGGTCGAGGCGCAACAGCCGCTCCAACTCGGACAGCAGCCCGCTGCGGCCCGTGCTGACCGACTGGGCGGACGACGAGCAGCTCGACCAGATCGACCGGCTCGCGCAGGCCGAGGCGCGCGGCGACGACGAGCAGGACGTCGATACTGCACAGCCGCTGCCACTGCACCACCGCAAGGCCGGCGGCATCGACGAGGTGGAGCACATCTTTGGCACCTGATCTCTCACTGCGTTTGTCGTGTTGGAAATGCGAAGCGTGCGTCCGAAGCGGTTGTCTGTGTGTTGGAAGTGTGATGCACGCGGGTTGCGGGTGGATTAAAGAGTTTGAGATTGCGTTGTGAGCGTAGGAGCTGCGCATCTAGACTATCGTTGCGGCGACTTAACCGTAGTTGAGGCTGTGATACAGAAGCGGAATGAACATGTTAGCAGCTGTGGTCGAGAAGAGGGGGGGGGGGGGGGGGGG